CTAGTACAATAAAAACCTAGTCTAGCATGTATAAAATAAAATAGCAAAGAAAATATTTTGGAGAAGATATCACCCAATTCTTGAATTAAAGCTTAAAATCTTGGATCTTGATGTGGGAATCTTCGCCCTAGCCTCTTCCTTGCTCTCCAAAGTGGTTGTTTTCTCTCAAAAACTGCATAACCCTAATTCTGGACGTCATTTTGGTTATAAAGGAGTCCAAAATCACGTTTCCATACGAGTTCGAACCAATTTAGGAAACCCAGAATCTCGCTGAATTTTCCTTCTATGCGAGCGCATAGAAAGATTTAGGAAACCCAGAATCTCGCTGAATTTTCCTTCTATGCGAGCGCATAGAAGGATTCTATGCAGTCGCATAGAACACTTCTTTTGCACGCTAGAATTCCTTTTTTGGTTGTATGTGGTCGCATTGAATTAACACTATGCACGCTAGAATTCCTTTTTTGGTTGTATGTGGTCGCATTGAATTAACACTATGCGACTGCATAGTGTTAGCGTTTTCTCGCCGGACAATGTTTAGTATTTTGATCATATCTTTCTCTCCCGATATCGGATTTAGGTGATTCAAAATGCGTTGGAAAGCTTACCTAAAGAGATACAAATCTTCCAGAAATATCAATCTTCAAATTCGAACGCCTTCTATGTCAAAAATTGGTTTCAACTAAGACTGAAAATTCAAAGCATAACTTTTTCGACTGGAAGTTAATTTGTGATAGTACTTCGACTCTATTTCATTCCTTTGGCTTTTTTCCTCATCCAATTGATGCCCAACACTCTCAAATCTTCATCGTGGGATCGACACAACTTTTCAATATTTGCAATTGAGTCCTTCAACTTTCGCTTTCCTCCATTTTGGTCCTTTTTCGCTCATTTTCGCATACATTTCATTCCATCCATCAATGTAGTCCTACAAACACAATTTATACCAAATTAAGCCATATTCAATCATTTATATCAACAATTAATCATGTTTTGTGGCATAATTAAGTGCGTAAAATGCACTTATCACATGTTATCAATAACAATCATTGATTTGATTTATTGGGGCATGTCTAGGTAAGCAACATATTAAAGTTGAGGAATTCGAGTAGGAAATGAAGACTATTTTTACAAACACTTTTATGTGTACTTATTGCTCAAGCAATTGTTTTTTAACCTTCTGGGGTTAATGTCACAAATGAGAATATACAAGAGTATAGTGAAACTTATGTTTTATTAGTATTAGAGGGATCGGAAATATGTTCATCTTATAAAGCTATTGTATATTCTTACCAGATGTATAATATGGTGAGCTTTCTAGAATCCTTGTTGATCACATATTCAATTTGTTTGTATGAAATTTGTGAGATAGATTTGATATGTGATATTAGTTGTTACATATTGTTTGGATCAAGTCCACCACGTGCGAGTGGAAGATGTTGAAAAATAAGTCGTGGGTCATTTGTGTGGGTTGATTCGACCAACAAGATACTAAAGGGGGATCGGAGGGGAATGGTTTGAACTTGTATTCAAATCCTTTACTTCCATCAACCTTCCTCAACTTCATATGACCTCTACACGTGTTGTATTGAGATAGAAGATAAACGAATGGCCAAGAATGGAGAAATTTGTATAAGAAAATGCACAATGATAAGTGTAAATGTTGCAATTATTTATTTAGGTCATCAAAAGTGGTGTTTGGGAGTAATTGTATGAGTTGGATGCTTGACTTTTTTTGTTTATTGATTATTTCAGGAAAAAAAATCAGTGTTGGACGAGAAAGGACAAAAAGGAATGAGATTTAATAAAAATGATAAAAGTTGGACGAATCTGGAAATCAGTGACTAAATAGCAGAGTCGTATATCGTAGAATTATAAGTATGGCTAGGCACTTAATATCTTAGGCAGCGAGCCAAAAAACCTCATATGTGATCGCAGCTTAAGTGATTCGATTCCATAGGGCATTCATGTGGTAGAATTTAGATCTCCTAATTTGATAATCTTGATTTAAACTTGAGTTTTCCTATCAACTTATGGCGCAATTTCGGACCTAACTAAAGGTCTACAAATATAATTTTTTCATTCATTCAAGGGAGATGTGATGAGCGATACTTGAAGCAAAAATTACCCATTCATATTTATCAATTCTCAAGATTTGTGGCTTCAATTTGGGATTTGAAGGTTAAAGATCATCAAATGACCAGGAGATTTTTAGTCATATTGATAAGTGTATTTTATGTACTTATTCGGAATATGAAATACCGATATTTGATAGTTCTTTTGACAAAATATATTCTAAATTGTTGTACTTTATTTTATATAGGTAAAAATCAATGGTTGGATGAGGAATTGAAAGAAAGAAGCAAAAATTGATGAAAAATGGCAAAATTCAAAGTTTGGGGATCAAATTACAAATATGAAATAATTGATTCGGACCAAAAGATGAGTTGGAAGATTTTTAGGAGACAATTGGATGAAATTAGAACTCAAAGGGGAATGGAATATAATTAAAATCAATTTTTAATTGCACAAGTTATATTCCAGATTTTTAGTCGAGGATTGAGACTATTTTTTGGCATAGTAAACGTCTGAATTGGGAAATTATATTTCTATCTAAGTTGTATCCCTTTGAGTTATATTTCCAACGCACTTTGAATCACT